CTAGTGTATGCAGTGTTGAGAAACTTGAAACCACAGAGTAAATGCATCCATACATATATATATATATTCTTAAACTACATGCAAAAGCAGATAAGTGACTATCTTTAAATATACTGACAATATAAACGTACTCAAGGTGGATCAAGGAATATTCCTAAGGGACTAATCAGTAGACACATCTTTTAATTAAACAACCGCTCCGAAGCCGCGGAAGGGGAAGGGGTAAACGGTTTTACCTAGAGTGATTGTCCGTCTCTATAGCTGTTTGTATGTCTGTCCGTAACAAAGTCTTGATCGCAGTTTTCGCAGCAACTACTCATCACAGATGTCTGAAATTTTATATCATTCTTCACTGAGGCATGCCTTTTATCGTAGGATCTGTTTTTTTAAATCGATGTTAACTGCCTGTTTATCCGTGCGCCTGTCGTACAACATGTACAATACATTACACATTTCCGTGGCATTTTTTCCAGCAACTACACGTGTATTTATATTGCAGATGCTTATAATTTTATCACATACTTTGTTGTGGCATGCCATATGATGAGATTTATTTCCGTGTGAATCTGATGTCAACTTCTTATTTGTCCGTGCACATGCCCGTAACTGAACTTGTGTAAATTTTAATTACAATATCAGTGCATTTTCACATCAGAGCGGGGAATTACTAGCGAGCATTGTCTCACAGACTTGTTGTTTGTCCAGCCCCGTTTTTAAAATATCAAATAAAGTATGTAGTTTACTTGCATAAAATTTTCCTGAATACCTTGTTTTATTGTGTATACGTATATTTTTAAAAATCAATACATACGAGAAAGTGTAACATTTTTTTACGAATATTGCAAACGTTGACTTAATAAAGAAATCATACAAATTTAAATTAACCTACATATTTTTCAACATTATTTTATCGGTTATTTAGGCTAGTTGTTTTTTTTCCTTTCCAATTGTGTATGTATATTTTTTTTATTATTGTGTAAGACGGAAACCATAAAATTGTATTTTTACGAATTGGAATTTAAATTGAACAAGAAATAAGATTAATTGTAAATTGAAACAAAGCTTTATTCTATGAACAAAACCTCTTTTCTCTTCAGCTCTATGAGTATGAATTAACTTAATTTTTTTTTTGTTTTGTAATTTTATCCGGTCCTTCCGTCGATTTCTCCACACACATTTATCAAATATTTACATAAAAAATTCATTTGTAGAATTTGATAAATTCTGGATCATAGGTTCCTTCACACACAGTATTGGGGGACACCTACATCATTAACCCAGTGGTTCAAGTGGTGGGCTTATTTAGTGTCAAAAGAAAGACTTTCTTAATTTGTCTTGCATTCCAAGTTTCGTCTAATAAATCGTACGACTCGGACATATTTAAACGAGGAAAATATTTTTATTTGCTAAATATATTAGGATAAAATTAAAAAAATATCTCATCATTTATTGTCATACCATTTAAAAGTACATGTAACGCGGTATCAGAGCAGTAAACGTCAAAAATCGCAATGTGCGTTAAAGTGCGTTATTGTGGGGCAAAAGTATATGCGTTAAAATGCGTGATTGTGGGGCAACGGTATATGCGTTAAAATGCGTGATTGTGGGGAAGGGGGTTAACCATTTAGACACCCTAGACCTCCTCTAAACAAGATCAGGGAATGAGTTATCGTTATTAACATCGGACTGTAGCGGCATAGCATTCACTGTGGTTTTGACCTGGTAACAGGGGTTTCTTAACCATCTTAGGCACCTGATCTAACATCTTAAAGGTTACCCTTTTCCTTTCATTTTATTCATTTTTAAGAACAAATCTTGGTCATTAAAGATGATAATTTGCAATACTATAGATCACTGAATTTGTGACTTTTTTTGCAAAATGTCATTAACTCGTTATAATTCCAATCTTAATTTTATTTATCGATTCCCTGTGTTCTGATTGGACGAAAACAAATTCAAGAAAAAGTTTACACATCGATGAATTCTTCAATCAGAACTACTTTCTTGACTGTTGTAAAAACAATGAAAACAGATACTTCTAGTCCGTTTTAGCTACAAGAAACTTGAAATAAAAAATAAATGAATGATCGAATGAATAAAAAAGGACTGACAGACGGGAATATTATGTTTATGTCACTGTCGCATCACGAGTGTGAATTTTAAAAACTCGCTGATCATGCTGTCATTTTCTCGACGTTCCATATCAGCTCAGTTGGTATCGTTGTGATAGGGAAAAGAAACGTACCTCAGACTCTTGCCTTTCTGGCATCAAATTCATATGTTTACATCCTACAGATCCCATATTCTCCCTAAATCTTTGAACGAACCAGAGCAAATCGAGGACGTCGTCGGTCTTCAACTTTCGTCATGACGTCAACATGGCCATGGTCAAGGACGAATTATTCTGGAGAATACGCGTATTTACGATATTTGTTGACTTAAACAACATTCAATGAATTTTTATAAGTTTATTTATTGATTGTTTTGACAATTTAAGTTGGATTTTATCGATATTCATCTTGTACACGTTTCTTTGTGGCATCGGTGGCATTAAAGTATTCCTACGCCGTACAAAATAACGGATTGTATGGCGGCCTCAAAGGGAAATAATTTTAATAATTTAAAAACTTCGTAATTGGAATTATAAGAATTAAACGTTCTTTTTTCAGAATTTATCGATGTGTAAACTCTGCCTTTTTACTCACAAACTTACATAAAAGTGCTTCGAACTTTTATTCAATTTGTGAGCAAAACGGCAGAGTTTACACATCGATAAATTCTGAAAAAAGAACGTTTAATCCTATAATAAGTGAGACAAAATTTTCACGAATTATGGGTTTTGCTCTTTAAATCTTTCACTAACCCATTGTCTCTGGTAATTACGCGAATATAGAGTTCTTGCGAATAAAATGGGATTTACAATATTTGACAAATTGAAAAAGTTAAATGGCTGTGATGTGATAAAAAATTACAATTGATTTCGCTCAAATTTGTTATTATGCAACCTAATTTAGCCCTGTGTGCATGTATATCCATAATTGAGTCTTAGAGGAGACTAATATTGATAATTGCAGTAAAACATGGATTATGAATATATTGTATTTTCAGGATTGTTTAAAAAATCTGGGGTTTTTTTGGTAAAATCAAATATCATTATCATTATCTCAATAAGTTTGTTAGTTGGAGATCATATTTTTTTTACCCTTAGATTCTAACCCAGACTTATTATTTATAGAGATGTATTTTACGGCAGGCAAAGACGTGAATGCATGAAATATAACGCTAAGTATAAGTAGGTTTCTACTCTTACATTTATTTACATCCTAATGAAACTGTTACAGTAATACAGGCAACACATGCAGTAATTGAGACACACTAGTTTGATATTTTAGTCTTGTTTAGGTTCTTTATTTTTCATTATATATAAAAATATGAATTTTTTCTAGAGAATGTAATAAATGGACAGATGAATTGATGAATTTGAAAGAACTTACATGACAAATAATTGTCTTACGAATTTAAAAATCTGTCAAAATTGGTTTTCTTCTAACACCCGAAGAATACTGTGTATTTTTGCATCCAATTTGCTTAAGCGAGAATCTATATACAGAAAGGTCAATAGTTTCTAGAAAATTATTAATTTCTTTATGAAAATATTCCTGTGGGGTTTACTTCCTAGATTTCCGGGCAGATTTTAAGTATTTTAAGTTATTTTATACCCCTTTTAGTTGTACCAATGAATAATCAAAATACTTAAAGCAATCATGGGAGTTGAACATGGTGTTTAAAATAAAATCTTTGATCGGGAGTTAAGTGAGTGAACAATGTTATTATTTCCAGAGACATATAATAGGTTTGTTATATAAAACTTCTCTGTGAAAATAAATGTATTTCAATTAAATTATGCATGTAGTACATTATGCATGTAGTACGTCAGAACTTCATCTTTTTAATATTGTGAAGAAAAAAGCAATACCAAGTTAAAAAAACAAATATTTAATGACCAGACATAAAACAGTGGTATGTGTGAGAGTTTGTGTGCGCACAAATTATCTGTTATGTAAATTAGGTTTTCCTTTTATCAAAAAAATATACTTCATTTTGTTTTGCTTAAATCGCGATTTTACGAAAACATAGGTGTCTGTTTTTGGTTTTAACATTTATAACAGAGTACTAGATTTACAGTTTTTGGCAGGTGACACTGCTGATTTAGTAATAAATACGCATGTTTCCTAAGGTTTTTATGCATTAATGAATTCATTTAAACCAAGAAAATGTTCATGAAAAGTTTGAATAATTTCTGTGCACCGGTAAAAAAGAAATTGCTAAAAATCCGGTACCGTCGGGCATCGGGAAGACAAGCTTCATTTACCGCTTGCCGTCAGTATTTAGAATTGTCGTTCGTATCTCTTTCAGTGTATGACGCAACACTAAAAATGAGTTCCATTACGAAAAACTTTTGAGGTTCTTTATAATTTTGTTTTACTATGAATGAAGTATAATATTTAAAATAAGATTACTTTATCATTACATTTATTTACATTTCAAATCATAAAAATTAGATCATTTCAAGAGAAAATAACATGGACTCTTTGTGGCGGATGTTTATGCGTGTTTTCTATTAAATATCATCGGAGTAAATCGGTCGACACAGTAGACTCGCTTTCAGCTCTATATAATCAACACAAATGACTGCGCATGTTAAATGCGTGATGACCATGGGAGATTGAACATAGTTCAACTCCCAAAAAGCATCGCTTTTAACAAATGCTTATTAGTGTCTTTTTTGCAAAAATATAAAACTATATAAAAAATCTCTTTAAAGATAAGACAATTTTCTTGGATTTAGTAAAAAATTACTGTAGGATAGGTAAATTCATGGATGAATGACCTGAAACCCAAGGCACACGCGGACGCTAAAATAGAAATTTGGAATGGTTTTATACATGTAGATATTCTCTTTGATTTGTTCATCTAATATAATTTTTTTCTCCCTTCAGAGGAGCCGAATGACTCTGGAGGAGTTGAGGATTGTTTACAAATGTGGTATAGAAATGATATATATCATTGGAATGACATCTCTTGTGACAGCGCCATCTATGGCGGATACATTTGTCAGAGTGAGTGACAGTATTTTTATACAATGTATACAAATAAAGGATTTTTTTATCAACACAAAGATATATTGGACCCATGAGTTGCAGCTGTATACTGTAAACCAACTTTTATTCCCCTGCGAAATTTTTAGCGAAATTCGTGAGAGCTTATTCATCGCATAAATTTCTCTCCGCGAACCTGTACTTATAGTCTATATGTCTATTTACAACAGATCAAAAAATGTTTGATCGCGAAAATTAATCGTTGTGAACTAGTTAAACCCCGGTCAATCACGAATAAAAGTAAGTTTACAGAAGTTGCTTTCTTTACGTTCAAAACTTCCGTAAGGTAGAACCTATGTCGGAAAAGTCTTGGTCACAATATTTTCAAACTTTTCAAAATGATAAATTAGCACTCGCTTATCAATCAGTCAAAAGCACATTATATGTTTCCTTGTTATTAAATGCAGTGCAGCCTGTGAAACATGCAATGGTAATTACACACTACGACTACACATTCTCAGTCTTTTTAAGGGTATTTACTTTTCCCCTTCAAACTAACGAGAAATAGGTTATTTACATTCTTGACCTTTTTGCACTTACGCAGGATTTAATTAACAAATGACTTTTTGGGGTTACTTTCAGATTTACAATGTTAATATTTATCAAAAATTGTATTTTTCTATTCAAACAGATCATATTGGATAGACAGTTTGTAATTAAACACCAACCATATTAATAAAAAAATAATTAATACATAATTAACAAATAACTATGAAGTGGCATGCATTTCATGATAGACATCAAACAATTATATACAATATTCAACATATCTTTGACCCAGGACACATTTATCAAGATATTAGTGATACTCTTTAGTTGGCAACTGAAGATTTAAATTATAGGATTTTGCATCTCATCAAAATAGCTGCATACCATTCACGAGCTATCACAATGTAATTTCATTACATGAGAATGAATTTGTTCACTTTAGGTCAAGATCTATAATAATAAATGAAAGGTGCCTACAGGTTTCTCTAATTTGAGAATCGTATTAAGTCATTTTGCTTTATAATTAAAAATATATAAATTCATTTTAGGTATTAAGAATATTTTAGCATGATTTTAAAATGAATTCCACGAATTTCAATATGCTTTACTAATTTTCTTCAATTTCTATTTAAACTGTAAAGTACGGGAAATAGTAATAATAAATTGATTATGAAGTCATAATGGTTCTAGCACAAGTTAAACACATGATGCCATACGACGTAGGTTCTACGTTAAGTTGAGCATAAGGAGATTACAAGACTCATCTATACGAATATTAAGATGTCACCTTGGTATATTTTGTATTTCTTTTCTTCGTCTTACCCAGTTAAACGGTTATTCTAAGACAACGATAAGATTAATTTTTGTGTTAAAACTTTTTGAATGTTTATATACAAGATTTCTATGATTGAATTTACATCAAATTAAAAAAAATATAACTTGGACTATAAAAACATTTGAAATAATTAGATTTTGATAAATCAAAGGGGAAATTTCCTATGTGTAATCTTTCTAATGAGAATGATCATACGCGAGTGTAACGATGTATTTTTATATCGTGTTCCTCGACTTCTGTAGTCCCCAATCCTCTGTATACATGTAGCTAATATTTAACATGTAATTATTAATATAAATAATGTATCTTTTCTTTCAACTTGGCCAAATAACACCATAAATGTTCTTTGTTATTAGAGAAATCGGAGACTAGAACAAGCATTTTGTCAGGAATAAGTGAACAACCAACAACAATAACAACAACAACATCAAAAGAGACAACTATAGAACGGATAGGTAATGACTAATGATTACCTGTAATTGTAATTGTAATCGCTACTTACTAGAATTAATTGTTCATTGAAAAAAATAAAGATAACAAACAACTAGTATTCAAGACAAAAAAGTTTATTCAAAGCAATGTAAAGCACAAGCAGAGCAAACATCAGAGGTGGGATCAGGTACCATGAAAAATCTAGAAACGAAAAAGTTCAGTTGTCAATTATTCAAATACTTTAGACATTGGAAAAGAATTAAGCTTTAAATGAATCCATTATCTGGAATGAAATAAATGTAACAGTGTTTCTAATGTACCTGTACATAAACATAAACACATAAAATGAGTATAATTATGAAATTTATGAAAATAACAAAAAAAATATTCAAGCTTAACTGGACATTTAAACAATGCAGATCAGGACCAGAGCAAATTCGGACCATTAAAACATCAGATACAAGGAGATGTGGTCATTCCCTGCCGACCAATCACTCCCGCCATGTACTCATTTTTATTTAGTTTGTAAAAAAAAAATGACCTAACAATTAGTATGAAAAACATCAGTCAGCATTTGACATAATAACAGATTATTTGCTGAAAAGGTCATTGTATCGACCATAAAACTGATGATTAAGGCGAGACTGTTCATATTCTAGTTTCATCAACTTGTTTGGCAATGACTTACATTGTACTTTATTTACAAATTATTCATAAGTAGAGCAAATTTTCAATTATGTTTTCTCATTAAGGTACAACAGCTTCATATTGTGATGACTTGCGACACCAAGAAAAACATGTGGATTGTCTACAAAACATTGAAAAGATTGATGAAATGGAATCTATAAATGTATAGATCTACAAATGCGTACCATGTAGTAATGCAGCTAGCTTTACAAAAGCATGTTTGCAACAAATAAATTTATATTGTTAAAACGTGATAAAAGTACGTTAACAAAAGTAAAGTCTCAGTGGTTTTTTTTAATGTAAACTAGGTTGAATCAGTTCTTAGAGGAAATCTATCAGAGAAAGAAACACTACTAGCGATTAAAAGTGCACTGCAGAAATTTCAAGATATTTCTATCAAAAACGAACCCACTCCTGAAGATTTGGACAGATCCATCAACTTTTTAGATAAAATTGTGAATGTTTCTAGGAGATTTAATGTCTCAATCCCAAGAAAGGTATTTTAATTTTTCATTTCGTTAATTGAAAGTATAATATACAATCCCTTGTAATTCCACATGTACAGTTTTTACATATTGCTATTTAGGTGATTGTGACAACAATTGACAACCTTCTTGCTGACAACCATAGTGTCGCATGGCAGAACACATCCACAAAACAGGTTATTGTCATTTTGAAATTGAAATTGATGTGAAAATTTCAAACAACCTTGCAAGCATTTTTAATGATTTATTTTTTTATCGCTTCAACAGGCAAGTGCAAGAGTCAATAAGATATTCAGATTGGTAGACAAGGTTGGCTTGCATATCTTGGAGACCATCAAAGAGAACGAAACCATGAAATTTAACTCAACGACAAATATAGGTAATATTCATAAACCCCCAGCAATGTCATTTTTACAATACTTACGATTTTGTTTTATTTTATCATCGGCAAAATGCTTCATTTGAGAGCTCAAATTTATAAAAAGTTATTTTTTATTTTTATAAGTTTTAACAGTTGCAAAGATTCCAGCAAAACAAAGTGTAAATTTCCCTGAAAACAGTAGCATGTTGGGATCATCACTAGTGTTTCCTGTGCAGACTCAACGATTTAATCAAAGTAATGTCAGATCCTATACATACCTATCGTCATTTAGTGGCTTCAATTTTTACTGTAAACTTTGACTATGCCAATGGGTAACATATATACTATTTCAAAATTTAGATATCGCGTACCTTGCGGTAAAATATAATACACTTGGAAACTTGATTAACGACAACAATAGGTAGGAAATTTCCAAAAAAGATATATTTTTAACACATAATGTTTTTTTGCTATAATATGCTTATATTGAATTCTTTTTTCAGAAATAAAAAACATTCAGAATACAATATTTCTCCTGATATCATGTCATTAACACTCCGTGACCCTTTATTTGGAGAAAGACTAGACCCTTCTTTGCATTTAAAGTTCTTAGAACACGGGGTATGTGAAACTCCTCATATGCATTTTGAATATTAAAAATCTCCGATGTTCAAGTGAAAATATTATCATCATCTTCATTATTATCATTTTTTTTAATTATTTCTATTTTAGAATTCCCACAAATTGATCAGAGAATGTGTATTTTGGGATTTTGATCTCAAGTAAGTGTTGGATTGTTGAAAAAAAATTGAACTGCTCATGGAAAAAATAAAAAAATATCAATATTAATGCACATTTAATAATATTCGAATTTGAGTCTGGTGAAATAATGTGTTACAGTAACGGAGATGGTGGTTGGTCAACACGAGGATGTAAATTACTATCTACAGATGATCTTTATCTTCACTGTGAATGCAACCATCTGACGAATTTTGCGGTACTGGTTCGACCATACTCAAAGGTAATCATCTAAATCTATGATGTACATGAACATAACAGTTCTTAAAACATCATTGAAACGATTTCCTCGTATTAAATAATATCAGTGAACACATACCTCTTCTTAAATAATATAAAGCCGCAAATTCCCAATTCTTCAGATGCAAGAGGAAGATAAGGCGTTGAGTTGGATATCTATAATTGGTTGTTCGATATCCGTGTTTCTCTCTTTGCTGACAGCCATAATTTACATTGTTCTTTGGAAGTAAGAAATAGAAAAACTTAATTACGTTTACTCAAATATCTTGTCATGTTTTGATTTTTCAATTTATCCCGAATGATCCAAAATAATTCCAAAGTTTGTTTTCCCTCTCTTGCAGATCTATTACATGTGACGTCAGCAGAATGGTCAATAAGATCACGGTACTTCTCTGTGTCAGTATTGCCCTGGCGTACACGATATTTCTGATAGGAGTGGACAAGATCCAATATAAGGTAAGCTAAAACAGGATTAATTTATTTAATACGTATATTTTAGGGTAAATGTTTTCTTTCAAATCAATTTACTCTCACATATTTTAAAATGCCTTATGTAGTATTCATTACATGAAAAAGACAAAGGTAACGTACAGGTAATAAAAAGGTTGATATTCTAATTTTCGGAACAAAAGATTGGCAGGCTTCGCACAAAATTCACTCAAATTTCTTTAGATAATTGAGGACAATAAAATGTTAAAAATGTTATGATTAAATAATGAGCTAAAACAAGCCACTATTCATTTTATTTTGGGTTTAATTTAGCGGATTTTCTAAATATCTCTCAAACTGGTTTGGAGGATCAGTCAAAACAATTTCTATCTTAGATAAAAAGAAAAGGTTTTAGTCAGTTAAATTATAATTATGATAAACTTGTCGTTGTTGGAAGCGTCATTTATTAGCTGTTTCAATTGACATTCACGGAAATAGGAATAACAAGTCGAAGCACCTTATGATAACTCTTGCTTTATGTTTCAGGTCGGATGTACTGTGATTACAGCATTGTTACAGTATCTGTTCCTTTTTGTTTTCTTTCTGATGCTGGCCCTTGGATTGTACTATTTCAGTAGCATTTCACTGATCAAAATATCATTTTCAAAAGCAACAACATTTCAAAGTAAAGCTAATTTCTTCGGCAAAATCATCTGGGGGAATTGTAACTGGTGAGTAAAACGTTATTATTTTGGGAGAAAGAAAACCAAATGAAAATTACATTGTTTGTTTTTAGGATATTTGAATGTGTTTCTATTAGGATTTAAATAAATATAATATTACTTTATTTTAGTTATGCCAGCGTTTATAACCGCAGTAACATTTGGAGTTGTATATTCAATGAACAAAGACTATCATTCAAAGACCAGGTGAAATAATAGTTGATAATAAAAAAAGAAAGATTTTTTATATAACCGTATTTAGAAAATACTCATTGTTTCAACGCTTTTTAACAGTTGCTGGTTATCACTTGAAAGTGGGGCTTTGTATGGTTTCGTTGGACCTGTAGCTTGCATTGTCCTGGTAGAAATTTTACATTCTCTTTATTTCATTTACTTCATAATGTAAATAAGGCTATACAATATTTAATGTTTGATAAAGCAAAGGCCATGGAAATGAGTTTATGATTACTTTTAATTTCATCGTTCTTGTGCTTTTAATTTATCTGCAAAGCGATGCTGATCATCCTAATTGAAAATAAGCCTAATGCTCTAACCTCGGAAGGCATATTAATAGTTTATTACCTTCATTTGTTTTTTTTTATATTCAACTAATTTCAGATCAATACTGTTATTGTCATTATCCTCTCAGTGACTCTTTGCTCGATTGGATTCTCCCCACAAGATACGACAAAGAACAGGATAATGTAAGTCACTTTGGATTTTAATTTAAAATAATGACACCCCTCTGATGTTTTAGAGGTCCATGTTTGTCCTGATTCTGATTTTTACTGTGTTGTGTTGTTTCAGTGAATGTTGAGCATGATTACTGTATGTTATGTGCATATTTCATAGTGATTTATGTGTACTCAAACAGGGTAAAATTAGAAAATATTTAATGAATAATTTATCAGTAAAGCAGCGGCGCCAATAAATATTTGAAATAAAAACATAGAATTTAAAGCTATTATTTGCCATGTTTCACGAACTAATTTTACTCAAATTAAGGGGGTATTTTAAATATTTAAAATATATTATTTCACAGCCGGAATAAAGTCCATCTGTACTCTGTTACCTGTTCTGGGTGTCACGTGGTTGTTTGGCCTTTTGTCCATTAATGAAGATGTGGTCGTCTTTCAGTATATATTTGCTTTGTTAAACTCCTTTCAGGTATTTGTCGTTAGAATTGCAATATATAAATTGAAAATGCTAAATGGTTTGTAGCTGGATTGGAAATTTACTGCCGGAGAGAGACATGAAGCGTTTTTAAAATATCTAGCATAAATTTCGAAAGGATATGGAGAAATGTTACAATATTTTATCTCTGACAAAATTGCTATGTATTATGTTTTAACATTTTAAAAAAAATGCCAGCATTATTTGATAAATAAGTGTACTGTACTAGTGAACATGTAGGTGATAACACAGCCTTAACCATTAAATAAGTAGATACTAGTGTAGTATATGATGTGTACTCTTGTATCTTTTAAGGGACTTTTCATTTTTATCTCCAAATGCCTTTTAAGTAAAAAGGTAAGGACAGTAAACAACAAAATAATGTAGATATTTTAAATCTTATTTTTTATTTAAATTCATTTTTTTGTAAATTAAAATGATAATATTTAATTATCATTATTAAGATAAATCTATAAGATAAGATAAAAATTTATTTAAAGTCTGGTACATCAGCAAAAAACTGAAGCTCTAAAGAGCTAATTTCCGTTTTTTTTCCTTAAGTATGACTTTAAGAAAAAAAAATTGTATCCATAATCACCAATTTAAATCTATTTTGAGGTGTTTACTTATGCTGACTGTAAGTGCTGGATAAGCAAAATAAAATTCTATGCTTCAGATCAAAAAGTCGCTTTGTGAGAGAATATATAAAAGAGATTCAGAAAATTGGAGAAGTAGACTCATTACATTACCAACCAGTAATCCGCTGTCCATGAAAACAAAAGAGTTTTCTTCCTTGTCAAAAGTGAGTATTTTGTACATAAAATAAATAAAACAAATATAACTTAAGGTCAATTTAAGGGGATGAAGGACCTTAAGCGAAAAAAATACCTGTCGTTCATTTTTTTCATATTTTGCATATCTCTAATTTAGTATGTCCCACATACCGTAAAGCAGATATATCAATAGGTTTCTAGACTTACTTTTGAGATATTGAGTGACAAAAAACAAACTTTACAGTGACCAAGTGAAGTTTGGATTCTCCATGTTTCTGGGCCCATTAATCGGTCAATCATGGATTTTTTTCAGCATCGATAAAATTTATGTCAGCGAAATTGTATCTTTTAAAATACTTCAGAGTGTGAATATGGTTAAAAATTCGAAAAAGGAAGATTCTTTCGTCACATCGCATCTGGAGACGGAAAAATGCTTACTTTTTTAGACAACTTAAATAACAAAAAAATTAATTTGAAAAAAATCCTATCATTTAATATTTGAAAATTAACGTCGAAATGCAAATTCGTCATATTATTGATTAACTGTAAAAATATAAAGATTGGTTAAGCTGAGCTCAATATTGCACAGGGCATAGTTAAACAAGACATGAGCATGAGAAAAACATGTCATATTTACATTTCTCGAGTACGGCAAAACTATGACTTCACACATTTGCGAAATAAGCGAAGTAATACATAACTAAAAATATATTTCCGTCAACAACCATGTAAAAAATTTTTTGTGTTCTGTAATTCATAAAATATCCCACCATGTACTGATCATGACACGTTTTTATATTATACTACCCGTGTTTTACCTTGTATATAATCTTACTGTACTAAGATCCACTACGACGTCAGCGACTCGTTGGACGCACAGTGTAGGGAAACAGAAGAGTGGATCAATCTATTCCGTAATTTGAAAAAATTTGGAAGAAAGTTTGAATGTTTTTTGATATTTTTATACAAGATGGCGAACTCAAACAAACAGTCATTTTTTTTTTACAAATACGGTGGATTCAATCTGGTTTTGTTCATATTTTATCAGAGATTATGACTTAATTAAAATGAGCCACGTAACCATACATTTTTCGTCCCCTTGTACAATTATACATATGATGACATTGTTTATTATATTTATGAAAAGAAATGTATCGAATGATAACATGTTGATGTTTAATCTATCTGATAAGGTAAACGATATAGAGAATTTAATCAATTGTATGTGCTTTCAGTTGGAATAGGATCAAGAAAGTATTTAAAATAAAGGATTTCTATAATTGTAAAAAAAAATTAACATTAAAGTTTATTGATATTAAAGATCCAAACTGAAGAAGAAGATTCTACGAAAGAAGTAAGCGAAGGGAATTGCATCAGGGTATCTTCTTAGATACATAATTTAATGTCATCTTTTAATTACATCTTAGTTATTTTTATTAACTTTTCTTCAATTATAATTTTTTTTTATTTTGAATCTTATATTTTTAATTTTATTAAATTAAAAATAATAATATAAAAGCAAAATTCAAATGTATAATGTGAAAAATTGATATTTCAGGGTATTTCTTTCAAGAGTAGAGAGAAAAAATTATAGACAATTGATTACAACATGAAATAATATCCACTAATTAGAAAGAAAAATGGAGAAAGATCCTTTGAAGAAACTTTCATCACTAAAGCAGCGTATTAAAGACTTCATATAATGTCTAAACATAACTGTTGCTATCGTGAGCCTTGTGGAAGCTCATTTGTATCCTAATCTTGGCTCTGAGATCAACTCTCGTTCAAACATACGAATTTTATCAAAGATAAAGTTCTTGTCAAAAGAAGAACAATTTATGCATGGGACTTTTTAAAATGACCATGAGCATAGGTTCAATGAAAGGTCGCCACGGCTAAATGTTATCATTATGTTGATGTCATAATTGAATGCCTAAATTTCACATTCTCACAATATTGTAAAACAACCAACAAACAATCAGTCTTTTTTTACTGTTGATTAGCACTTTTAATGTTTAAAAGATACATTAATTTATTTATACATTTCCCTTTAGAATGGTAATTTCAAATCGATTAGTAAACCTTAATTTAAATAATCGAATAATACTTTTTTAGTTTGTAGTTTTCATTATCATACCTTAAGTACACCATTTTAAACCATAATGCATGTATCTTTGAATATAATTTACCAATAAGATGCTCAACCTTATTTTTTAATATTTATTGATAAAGTCAATTGACAGTTAAAGTTTTTGTTTCATTAATTACACGTACACATGAAATAATTTTCGAAATAGCTTGCATCTAGTCCTTTTCCTTTGAAATTAAAAGGCATTCAGATCAAATCAGAATATAAAAAATCAACAGGAATGAAGCTTATTCTCACCTGTGTTATACGATAAAGGGTAGTTTGAGATAGGGGTGGTTTTGTGTTCTTTTATAATCCGCTTAGCGGGCTATGCAGCGTAAATAGCCCTAAATTAATTTATATCTCATAACATGTATAACACAAGATAAAACGTAAATTAATCTTCATTTCTTTTATATAACATTTTCGGGTATAAAGGACCACAATTTGTGCCTATTCACTTAAAACATTAGTTAAATTTGATAGTTTTGTCACTTTTTCTTGCAACAAATTTTCATACAGGGAAGAAGAAGATGGTTTTAAATCTATTCTGATTTCCATCTTTCAATAATACTATGTAAAAACTCCCCCAATGACTCTACCTCATATCAGGAAATGTTAAGAATGAAAGGAAAATTTAACAAATGAGGACGGATTTTAGATAGTCGATCGGGTTAAGTGTAGTAGACATTATTAAGGCTGGATTTTAAAAAAAAGCATAAATGGTATTTCAGTTAGTGATTGAGATGCGCCCCATAAGTAAAATCATAGAGCCTTAAGTTAGAAACAGGATTTTCAGGAAAAAAAAAATAAAAAAAGAATGCCTTTTAATAATAAAAGGTCATATACGAGGGCTGTTCAATAAATAATGTCCTCGGTGCTCAGAAAGAAGCAAAAGACGCTTTTCAATGATTTATTCTTCATGATTTTATTAATTAATCTCTTTTAAGTAAAATACATGTCCGTAACATTTTTTATCCAATTTCTGGTCGTTTTTAGAACTCATTTTTGGGTATGACCCTTAGTATACTGGAAAATGGCAGATCCAATGATTTCCCGGATTTGTTTCTTCCTTCTGAAGGGTGTTTTTTCCAAGTTTGGAAGTTGAAACAAGTCAAAATGTCAAAGATCTGGCGAATATTGTTAATGTAAAAAAACATTAACTTTCTGTATATACCGAAAACCCCTTTACTCTTCAGGGCATGCGGGTTTGGACGCTGTCTTGAAGAAATTCAATGTAGTGGATTCCTGATTCTGGGTCCTTCCTCTAATAAACCTTTTGATTTTTTGGCCAAAAAATTGCTTTCCAGACTCCTCCAGAAATTAAACTGTCTCTCCGAATACGATTTTGAACAACAATACCACTAATGTTTAAGAAAATTACATATAAATCTGTCTTTGTGCTCTTGCATACCTTTGCTTTTGTCAGACATTCGCCGTTTTTACCGAGTGCATCTTATGGCAAATTTTGTTTTGAGGGTTTTAAGCAATAGATTCATGTTTCAATATCTGTTTGAAAATAAAACAAACGTGGATAACTACAATTGTTGATATTAATAAATGATTGTTTAGAATTTCGTACACGCTGTCGTTTTCACTCATTTTTCAAAATATTGGGTGACCTTTGAGTAACAAGCTTTTTTACCATCAAACGTTTCTTAAATACAATGTAAACTACCCCCGATGTGATGGCTATCAAATTTGCTATGTGTTTTAAATAAGGATATGGAAATAACGAACAGTATTCAATCTCAACGTCCATTAAACAAATATACAAAACAAGAGCAGAGCAAACACGGACCTCCGAAACATCAGAGGTGGGATCAGGTGCCATGGAGGAGTGAGCATCCCCTGCCGACCGGTCACACCCGCCGTGTGCTCATTGTCATAATCAGGAAATAACGGAAAAAATCCGTAGTCAATTCAGTGTATAAATAATGGACTAACAATTGGTATGAAAAACGTCAGTCAGCATTTCATTCAATGATAAATTGTATTTGCTGACAAGGTCATTGTATCGACCATAGAATTTACGAAATGATGACTTTAAACGAGACTGTTGATATTCTTGTTTCATCAACTTGCTTGTCAATAATTTACCTCGTTTAAGAAATTGTTCATACGTAGAGCATGCTCTTGCGTATCGAATCAACTGAGATATAAATACTCCGTATGCAGGTGATGAAGGTATATTGCTGCATAAGTAAGGGAAGTTGACGATAGAAAAGTTAAAGTCATCACGTTTATCATATAGCTTGGTTGTTAGATTACCATTTGTGTCTTTTTCAAGTAAAATATCCAAGTATGAAGCAGATGTGTTGGACTCTGTGGTATCTTTTATCTCAAGCTCACCAGGATATATCGTGTCGACGTAGGAATGGAAATTATCATTATTAATTGACAATACGTCGTCGATATATCTAAATGTCGAGTTGAAGGCCACAGCAAGTGTTTTTAAAGTCAATCATACATCATTAAATATTATTTGTTGAAATTTGGCGAACGGTACATAAGTTGTTATAATTTTTGTTGGCAAGGAGGGTACCTATTTTTAATGCTCATTATATCATTTTTTATCATTGAAATCCACCTGCTCTTTTGTCTATAAAACAGGCATTGGTTGCTGTAAATGTCACATTTTTCAGTGAATATTTCTCCGGGATTTTTAACAAGTTTTACGGCAGCTTTAAGGAAGCTTTTATTTTCACTCTAGTTTACTGATTCTTTACAATTCATTTATAATGCAGTGTCTCGAAAAGCCCTAGTTTCCCAGCTTCTCACTATGAAACTATGTGATGAAAAGTGGTCACATAAACTGTTTTAATTTCATGAAAGATTCAATAATGAGAGAAAGTCAAGTTTAATGTCATATAATACCTGTAATGTATGTCATATAGTTCAGGACATTATTCATTGAACAGCCCTCGTAGCTGTGTACTTTAGAATGAACCCAACATTTTGATATTTCATCTGTTAATCTTACAAAAATGCCGTGAAATGATAAAGATTTGAGCAGTCGTGAACTTATAAACAAGCATATACTTGTAAACACTTCAGAATAAACACTTTATAAAAATACGGAAGTAAAAACGCCCAAGCTCTGGTATAAACTTGGTTATTGTTATTCTATTTTTTCCAGACGTAAATAGATAATTTATACATAAAGGAGAAGATGATAATGAACGTAAAGTAATCTTTAACTATGAATAATCTGAGACAAAACCTTGGTCCGTGTTCCATCGGGGGTAAGAAAACCTCCTCTAGAAATTGAACATGGATGGACAATGCTTCAATTACTCAGCCATCAAACTATGATGAAGGTTTTGTATAATACTTCGAAATCATGTTGAAAATAGTAATAATAGACAATTCTTCTATATTTTCGAAGACGGTATGGTTGATTTTGTACTTTGTCTTTGATTAACTTTGTTTAAAAAAAAATTTTTTTTTGGATCGAATTATGTCTATTTTTCATTGTTCTCAACACGACGTCGCACTAACATACGAGGGTTGATCCAAAAGTAATGTCACAACTTCGATAAAATTGCTATAAATCGACGTAAAACAACACAATTACACATGATGAAAGCTTAATTCATTTCAAATCAGACCTGAAAAATTCAAAGGAATGTGATGTATACTTTCCAAAATATGGGATTTTAAACTGTGCATTTATGGTAGTCGCCGCACCTAAATATAATGTCATATGATGGATACGCAACGTCATTCTTTCAAGCGTTTTCCCTTTATTTCATCACAAAATATTTCTGATTCGCAAAGGCTTTCACCAATTTCACTTTCTTTTTAAATTCTTGATACCATTATACACTCAATCTTTTCACATTTAAGCCCTCGGTCAAAATATTTTGAACAGTAGCAGAATACAAACTTAAAAATTCACATGTCACTCTATCCCTCTGTGTTTTTTGATAACGTCAGACACCATTGAATGTTTCCGTCCAATCTCCTATCTTTCGGTCTTCTTGCCCTCTGCTGATAATTCAATTGACCCACCATCCGACCAAAATTGCTGAAATCATCAATTACGAAGTCTTTCATTTATATTCTTTATTCTGTGTGTCTTATTTATTAACACAACTGTCGCTAGTGATGATTCCCATATTTTGAAGCAAAAATGCATTACACTTCGTCGAGCCGTTTTTTTTCCCATTTCAACAATTTCGACAATCACTTTGTTCACTTCAACAGAGTAAAACAACAATATTTATGATCACAAATACCAATACCGTCATTTAATTTTCAATAAAAGACTAGAAATTGACTTGAATTGTGTCTTTAAAAAAAATTAGAGATTAGGTGCTTTTTTAGAATCTTTTTAATGTGTTTGTATTTTTCAATCTAACAAAAAAATACACTTCAAAACTGGACGTTCAGTTGTGACGCGGCGACACCCCCTATGCTCTATATTTTAAACATCTATAAAATAAATTCAAATAAACATTATTAAATGAAAATTTCAATGTTAATTAGATTTGTATTTGTGCATCTTTTGGTATATTGTATTTGATAATATGACGCCAAATATAAAAGATATGGACACTGTGACATTACTTTTGGATCAACCCTCGTACAACTCGTTGTCATTAACAAGCTAGTGCGTCGACATTAACGCGCTAGCGCATTGTTATTAATGCGCTTGCGTGTTGTTGCAATGGCCCT